CCCCCATTTCCTCTTCTCCATTAAAAAACATATACTCCGTCTTCTCTCTACTGACCTTAAGTCCTCTGTCCTCCATCGCTCTCCTCCATCTCTCCAATTTCTGCTCTACTCCCTGGTGGTATCTATGAGGACTATGTCATCTGCAAATAACATGTCCAAAAGTGCCGGTTCGATGATCCCTTGGCCCAGCACATCCATTATCACGTCGAAGATGTACGGGCTTAGAGAAGAGCCTTAAACTGTCATTTTTTGGTTTTGGCGGAGTTTTTACGGTCGGATGCCCTTCCTGACGCCTACCATCCCCATTTGGACCGGCACCGAGTTGTGCTGGCTTGCACCCCCAGTGGCTGGGTTCGTAAGCTTGAGGATTTATAACGCTAAAAATCGGAGTTCGAAAACTGAGCAAATAGTCCAACGTGTAGCTTTTAACTTAAGTTCAGACAGAAACTTCTCTTAAGGCATTTTTAACAATTCAAATTGTCACAAAGAAATCCCGATTTATATTGTTTACTTTGATTTTCAAAAATTCTTTAATAAGGTGCCTCACAAAAATGAACTAGTAAGTTAGATACTTAAGGGATTAATGAAAAATTTAAGAAGTGGGTAGGAAATTGGCTCAATTAATAGAAGAAAAAACAGAATAATGATAAATGGATATTTCTTCTGACTAGGGAAACATAATTAGTGTGATCCCTTAATGATATAATTTAAGACCTTTGTTGTTTGTTCTTTATATACACTATTTTGATACATTCTGGAAACGATACCCCGGTGGACAGAGCACAAATAGCCTATGGTGTTGCTTTGTGTCTGACAACAAACAACCTAACTTTTGAAAACTAATATTTTTTTAATTCGTTGCTGAAACAAAAAATTACAGGAAGAGATTATTTTGATGAGAATTTTCCTCTTATCCAAAAGGACCTCAATAGACTTAATGAATAGGCTAAAAGGCGAAAAATGTTCTTTAATATTCATTATATCTAATGTTATCAATAAAGAAGTTTCTCCCTCCTCCTGTGACTCAGTGGTAAATCGCGTAGCTCTGCGCTTAATAACACACGCCCAGCGTGGCCAGGTGGTTAGGGCGCTCGACTCCCAATCTGAGGGTCACGGGTTCGAATCCCCGTCACACCGCACATGCTCGCCCTTTCAGCCGTCGGGGCGTTATAATGTTAGGTCAATCCCACTATTCGTTGGTAAAATAGTAGCCCAAGAGTTGGCGGTGGGTGGCGATGACTAGCTGCCTTACACTGTCTTACACTGCTCAATTAGGGACGGCTAGCGCAGATAGCCTTGTGTAACTTTGCCCGAAATTCAAAACAAACAAATAATAATAGACTTATTTAAACGCGGCATCTATCGGGAAATTTGTAACAAATAATATTGGAGGAATAATCAACAAAGACTTACATTACAAAACAGCGTAATGCTTAACAATAAAATATGTCACAAGAAAACTTTTATAAAATAAAAATAATATGCTACTAGAAATCAATATATACTATTGTTACCTCAAGATCAGGCTCATTAATAAGCAAAATTATTTATCTAAAATCAGTGGAATTAACCAAAATTTAACGATTCTTCCAAACTAGCAATAAAAATTTAAAATTCAAGTGTAAACGAGTTGAAATTTTATGACTAAAAACACGTTATAATGAAATTGACAATTGACACGTATAGAATTTTGTCTTGCTATGAGTTGATATTATACTAAATATATACCTTAATATTTATGGATATATATATATATATTTATTGAAAAAGTGTAATGTTTATTAAGTATTTAAACTTTGTTCATATTGAAGCGTAAGTTAGCATTTTTGTTTTTCTAAAAGTTGAAATAGAACAACCAAATAATTTTAGCTCGAACATTATTAACAATATTTGTCTTGCTGTAATTTTTTTTATATTTAAGATATACATCACGTGATGCCTTGAAACAGCAGTATTTCCTGACGTGGCAAAGGTCTGCGCTCCGCTGGCAGCACGGGTTATTCTCGCCATTTTTGTGTGGCCGGATTTGTTTCAGAGTTGGGTGAGGTAGGATTAACTATACGAAGTTATTGAAATTAATTAATGTTATAATTTTTTTTTTGTTTTAGAACTATATTGGACTTTGGTAAAGGTAATTATAATCCAGAATATGTGATGTAATAAATGTATAATAGTTTATTTTAGGTATTTACATCATAAGGAAATTTTAATACAACTGTGTAATGAAAATTAATTTGTTACTGTTACTTCATAGTTGTTGCTGTTAGTGTTAGTAGTATTACAGGTACTAGTACAAGTTACATTTACAACGACAAGTACAATTTACAAATTTGATTTACCAGCATAGTAGTGTTACTTTTAGCGGGTAAAACTTAATTGAAAGGAAGGTTTAAATTAAAGTTCTTTACCCATAACCTAACAAAAACAGTGAAATGAAAAGAATTGGTATATATTATATATATATAATTCGATAAAGCAACAGTACTAATTCGTTAATTAAATGTACAATTTACGAAACAAAAGATAGAGGGAAGATAATTTTTTCAGTGTCGACCAATTTAAACTTTTGAGGATACAAGTTTTAATTAATTGTTGTAAGCAGTATAGCATTACTAATCAAGACACACGGTAGTGTCGTGCTGCCAAAACAACCTGCAGGACACATTCACACTGTGTATTATTAACAAGTGATAGTTTAGCGATTTTCCAATTTATGCTGCTCGAACTGTGGTAATCCAAACTATGACATATTTTCAGTGGAGCACTTGATGTGCTCTACTGGACCCTTACTTCACATACCAAAATTCAAGGTAATCCATTAAGAAATTAATTGAATTTCTTCCTATTTTTTCTTTGCACCGAAAGTACAAAAATTTTATTTCATAGAAAAATATAATTAACCTTTAATGATTTTTTTCAAATTTGATACACCGATAAATCTTTACAACCAACAATTAGGTGTCAAATTTAGTTTAAATATAAGCAAAATGTGCAAACTTATTCAACAAAAACTGATCTATTTTGACCAAAGTTTTTGCACACACCTACTCCAAAAGTTGTGGGAGCTACTGGTCTAAATTTTTTACATACAACATTTTTAATTGTCATTCAGATTAAAGATAGCTGATTTAAAGCAGCAAAACTAGAGGATCAAATCATGTGCAGATATATAAGTATTGATTAGGCCAAGCAAAATAGATTAGCAGTTTTATAGATCAAGTTTTCAAAACAGCCATATGGGTGGATGGGTATTATTCATTGCCAACTTTTAAGCCTAATTTTGCTAAGTTTTATGAAATTCTCCTAAATAAAGAATGTTTAGTGACACATGATATTAGCTTAAGCAATTAGCATAAATAATGATGCTTGATAAGGCTGTATTAAGTGCATATGGGTGATGACAATAAACTGTTGATCTAGATCATGACATACTGTAAAGGAAGTTATGAACAATGTTTTAGAGAGGAAAAAATACCACCATGTATTTTAAAGAACCTGGTTGGTTCTATAAAGTATAGGTCTGCTCAGAATAATAGGGTTGCAATCCTAAAGCTAATGTTGGTTACTATCAAGTGCCTTTCTTGCTTGCTGTGGTTTGTTGGTGTGTATAGACAAAAGTCATGATATCTAATCAAAATCACCTTGGGTATGAAAAAAGGTGCAGCCAAACTGGCAGCTACACTAATAGCATTGATAAGAATTTTATGGTAAATATTCATTTATTAGTTATTCAGGCTGCATTTTTTGTTTAACTTGGGGCATGATGATGGGTAAAACAAAATACACGGCCTAACTGACTTAACGAATATTTGCTGTAAAATTCTTATCAATGCTATAAATATAGATACCAGTTTGGTCACCAATTTTGATTTCATTCCTTTAAGTTGCATGCTCAATCTTTTTTTTTGGTTGCATCTTTTCTACACACCTAAAGTGTTTTTGATTAGATACCAATAACTCTATATGTCTTTTTCAGATTTCGTGTGATGGCCCATTGCAAAGACAATTTTCTTAAATATTTTAAGCAGAAATCTTAAAATTCAACAAAATACATCCCTAACACAAATATAAGATTATAAACTTGAGTTGGCTACATTTTTTCAAACAAACAAGAGGTCTGAAGCACTTAAACCTCCATATTAAATATTACTATCTGACACGTGACTCCATTATAGATATATTGATATAACATTTTAAAATAACCTATACCAGTATTGCACTATTGGAGAGGGGCAAAAATATTGTATTGTATTCAATATTTCTGTAGATACAACCTAAAATCCTATTTGCCCTACCTCTAGCAACAGCACACTGCTTGGATGGCTTTAAAGACTGATCGACTATTACACCAAGATCCCTTTCCTTCAAAACACTATTAAGGTTATTCCCATCCAAATTATACTTGTAATTCAAATTATGATAACCCACATACATTATCTTACATTTATTATAATTAAAACCCATCTGCCATTTATATGCCCA